CTCGCCCGCGTTGGCCGCACCTCTGGATGGGGCCCGTATTGTCAGGGGTTGGCACCTGCTGCTCCGTGTGGCCTGTAGTTGTTGCTGGAACGGGCGACCACGGTGTGTGATGCTGGGTGTTGAGGGCCTGGTTCGACACGTTGATGTTATGGCCCAGAGCTTGTTCTTGCTGGGGCTGTAGCACGAGCTGGCCACCTAACGGGAGATTGATGGGCTGGGGCTGGCCTTGCTGCTGGAGGCCGCCAGGGGGGAGGTGGCCAGGCTGCTGTTGCTGCTAGCAGGTTAAGCTGAAAAAATGCGAAAAGAGGGGAGGGGGGAGGGGTAATGACGCACGCACGATGGCGGGTAGTGCACGGAAGTGCTACGCGGTGCTGGACAGTGCGGGCAGGGGGGTTGGGTAGACGTACATAGAACATACATAGAACATACGTGCGCGCAGAATTTGGCAGCGAATGGTTTGGGGCGCGTGCGGCGGTGATTAGTGGAAAAGGGGGCCCCGTGGGTGTGATTTGTCACAGAACGGCGGNAGCAGGTTAAGCTGAAAAAATGCGAAAAGAGGGGAGGGGGGAGGGGTAATGACGCACGCACGATGGCGGGTAGTGCACGGAAGTGCTACGCGGTGCTGGACAGTGCGGGCAGGGGGGTTGGGTAGACGTACATAGAACATACATAGAACATACGTGCGCGCAGAATTTGGCAGCGAATGGTTTGGGGCGCGTGCGGCGGTGATTAGTGGAAAAGGGGGCCCCGTGGGTGTGATTTGTCACAGAACGGCGGTTGCGGCGCGCCACGCACGGCGAAATGGCCGCGTTTTTTGCGGAAGCGGACACAACATACACTGCTGTACACCCGAGATGTGAGCCACAGCGACTATACGTGGGGTGCTGTAAATAATCGGTCGCCAGCGCCGCCACATGCTTCGATTTCATTTCTTATTTTTTTTACGTATGCGCATGTGACAGGGGTACCATCGTGAAAAATTTCGAGGCCGAACATTGAAATGGGGCAGGCAGAGTTATGCTTACACTTTACCCGTAAACACTGCTGTACAGCTTGTTCGAGCTTATAATATCAGGATCTTCGCGGATTAACTATAAATTTTAGTATGTTGTTCCGCTATGTCAGGCGCGCTGCTGTATATTTTTTTTATGGTCAACCCATAATTTGGGGCTGAGATATTAAACGTGGTACGCGCGGCAGGGGGGTCTCTAACTTCAAGTGATTTACTGCCGACACACCAGCAGAACACCCCCATACCCACCAATCCATATTATCTGACCAGTGGGTACGTGGGAAACCCACATAAATTGATTTTGGCAGGGGTGGTGTGTAGGCGGGAACGCGATATTTTACACCCCGTGTTATTCAACGTACAATACGTCACGTGCGCACACAGGGGGAGAGAACGGCAAACACGCTAGGCGCGTCTAAAATAAAACTTTTTGCACGAGGAGGCACCGGCACACCCACAGGGACGATCTACCGGCGTTGACGCAGCGCGCGGGCGAGTTTTGCGACCTATACGAGCGTGACCAAAAGCCTAGAATGCGCGCAGCGCGGCAGCTGGCGTGCCGCACACACATCTGGCGCGCACACGTCTACCTGTACACACGTCTACACGTAGACACCCGTACACACACCTTCCTTTTCGCACAGAGTCCCCCGAGCACCCTGGTAACCGATCCCGCTGCTCCGCCGCTCGCTTCCGTTGTCGTGTGAGGCAGGACGAGCGTGTGACACAGCAGCACGAGATCTCTGAAGCGTCGAAGGAGATTAAGGCGGCCCAGCAGCAACTGCGTGGGGCCTCAAAGAACAGCGCCTGCGAGGCGACCCTGAAGGCGATGCTCAAGGCGGCGCGGAAGAAGCGCAACATCGCGAGGTGGAGCACTGGAAACATTCTTCGAGGGCTATGTACGGCAGCTCGAAAAGAAGAGCCGCGAGGGGGATCAGGCGGGTTTCTACAGGCACCTGAAGATGATCGACGTCGAATGTAAGAGGTCGTTCACCTCTCTAAACATCAAGGACGAGGACGGCAAGGTCCTTCGGGACCCCACGTTTATTCGCCAACGGTGGGCACGGTGGTTCCACAAGCTTCTCAACACCAAGTCGCCGACCATCGACCTGCATGCGGCTGACAACGTCAAGCCGTGGCCCACGAGCGTGCCACTCGACGACATCCCATCTCTACTTGAGGTTGAGGAAGCGGTACGGGAA